TATAAATATATTTAACTGACCATCTTTGTTTAATTTAATTTCATATTTATCAAATAAACTTTATTACTTACACAGCAAAAAAAATTTGCTACTTTATCATATACCTAAATTAAATGAAGTTTTCTAAAATGCTAAGTAACATTGCTGGAAAATCTCAGCCTCAGCCAAAGTACAATTTCCGCCATTGTAAACATCTTGTTCGACTAATGTTGCAATGCTTTAATTTTTGATTAATATTATTTTATTATATATTTGCATTTATCAATCAAATGAACGCAGGTAGGCAACCAATCGTGTACCCAAATGTCTCATATCTCACGTACAACGCCTCAGGTGCATATGTTTATGGCACACATACATACGTACATACATATTTAAGCTATGGTCTCTCGGCTGGCATCGTCGAGTGGGTCGCAGCCAGAAACCGCACTGGGGCAGCCAATTATGCCATTTGCCCCAAAAATAAAGAAAAGAAACATATATAGAAATATGCATACATATATATAATATGTATGTACATATTTATGTGTGTGTGTGTGTGTGTGTGTTTGTGTATGTAAATGTGCAATGGCACTGTTGGTGGATCAGGTCGGCAGGTCCGTTGCGCATGCGCACCGCATGACGTCCAATAAAATTAAGCGCGTGTTGCATGTTGTCGTTGCTGCAGTTGCTGCTATAGTTGTTGTTGTTGTTGTTGTTGCTGTTGCTGTTGTTGGCCACTTGACCAACAAACGAAACAACACGTACAAAGTTTGACGCGTGACGTGCTTGCTTAGCTCATTATTTACACTAGACAACAAAGGACAACAGTTACATTGAACATTCAAATTGGCTTGTTGTTTTTATTTTTAGCAACTATAATTATACAAAACAAATATATATGAATATAGTTTAATAATACATTTAGATTTTTATGGATATTATTCATATTTCGCTTTATTTATATTTGTATATCTATTTATGATTTATATATAATTGTATAATTAATGGTATATGTTATTTTCAACGTTATGTTTACTTATAATAATATTTTTTGATATATTCCATATTTGGTATTTAAAAGTATTTATTTATATTTAGTACTGGC